CCCCCCCATCCCCCCGCCGCACTACTGTACGTCCACGTGCTTGCCGATGGTTGCCGGCAGCGAGGTGGTTTCCACACGGCCGACCAAGCAACCCGTGCAGCCGAGGCGCTAAGCGGTGCTGTGCTGCACTTCAGACGACTCGCGGTTTTTCTGAAATATCCCAGCAGGGGACGGACGCCGCAGTAGTACAAGCGGAAGGCGGAACCAAGCAGGGCGCCGCTGGTAGAGTAGGGTATGACTCGTTGCGCGACGAGCGCGTGAGACAGATGGTCCGTGTATTACTCAGCTTGTCTTCCTTAGCTTTGTACATCTGGCCGTGGTTTCGGAGCACGGAGCTTCGCGCCAAGGTTTGTCGGTGCTGTGCCATCTGCAGCGAACGAGTTGGCCTTCTCGCCGGTACGACCGACTGTTCTCGCTGGTGTTTTTTTTTTCGTGTCAAGCAGCGAATAGATGTAGTCAGTAGCTGCTCACCTCCAGACGCACCACACCACGCGACCATTTGGAGGCGATTCGAGTGCGGGGGCGGAGGTCGAAGACAATCCCTCCTGCAAGGATGGATGGAGACAGCAACAACGTCCCTAGATCTACGCTTTGAATTTGATGGTGGCAAAACCAACCCGACGAACAGAACCCCGCCTGGAACGTCAGTTCCCAGCTTCGTGCACACAGAAGCACCATGCGCGGGGTACCATGCCTCTGACGCGTGTGAAGCGACAGTTTCGGATGCGTAGAAAACAGGTGTACCAAGCCCCCTTCGGGTTTTTTACCGGCGCTTGAGCCTCACGGCGTGCTTGGTATGCCGTTGTCCGCCTGTAATACGTTTGTGCCCATCAAACTTTGTCCATGTGTCTCGAGAGTGTTGCTTGCTTCCACCAAATTTTGCCCGTCGGAACCTCGACATAGTAGGCGGTGTGTCTACACGTGTACTGTCGGTACGACACGCAGCTTTCTCTTCATGCACCACCGGCGACCCGCAGGCTATTCGACGAGCTACCGTCGCCTCTTCCCCGCTGCCGTACGTGAAACTCACGCACCGCGTCTTCTCGTTGACGCCAAGTCCAGGATGAGATGTGCGATGTGCCCCCACCAACGACTGACTGCGTCGTCGTTTAGGTTGCCCGAAAAACTGCTACTCATTCTACATGTGTCGACGTCATGTCATTTCCCCCCAACCGCCATCAAGGCGACGCTCGTTTGGTCGAAGTCGAAAGCTTGCTCGGCGGTGCGACTTCTCCGCAGCTACCAGCAGCGGCTGGTTCTGCAGCTGGTGGTCCCGTTCGATGCTCTGAAACCCATGGCAAATCCATATCTCTCTACCCCTGATGATGGAACAAGAGCGCCACGAATATTTGCCTTTCATGACAACAGCACCTGTGGCATTCAACAGACCCTCGAACGGTATCCAGCGCGGCATCTCTGCTGTGTGGCGGGCCGCAGTCACCGTGGTACATATTCTTGTACGGGTCGTATCGCAACAGAACTTCGACCGCTTCTTCAGAGATCCGTGTACATTTCTTCTCTCGAGAAGTTGCGACACATTTTACCCGCCTTCTTGAGTCGGACGGGTGGCCACTCCACCCAAGGGACGTACGGGGCGATCGAAAAAAGGCTTGTGAGCGCCACCCAAGCAACAGAACATAGCGGGGGTAAGGACCGTTTTAAACGGACCGACTTTTTTGTCAAAATTTTCGACAGTTGTCTTTCAAAAACTTGGAACCTGTGTGCAGTCATTTTAAACGTGTGACGTAGACTTGTGCAACTTGTGTCAAAAAAAATGACGCCGTCCGTGAGTTGTAGCGCTCACTTCGAGACAACACAGACGACACAACACAAACCGCGGAAAACACGACATCATGGACACCGACATGGATATCACGACCACCCAGCGTGGCCGGCAGACCAAAACCCCGGCGAAATTCCAGCAGACGGGCTCTCTCGGTGCCGCCGTAGGCGGTGGAGGCTTGCTCTCCAGCAAGATAGTGCTGCTGCCTGGCATCTCGGGGAACACTCATGTTACCACGGGAGGCGCTGCCGCCACCAACACTCCGCCGGCGAGGGGTGGCAACCACTGCTCCTACCCCCCCGGGAAAAGGAAAAAACAAAGCGGCGGACGCGAAGCAACAACTGCAAGCCATCATGGCGGACCGCCGTTTTTTTTTTTTGTATTGCGCGTGCCCGTGGGCGAGGAGAGCCGCTCGAATCTGTAGGCGCGCCGCGCTTTCTACGGTCGGCCATGACCCACACACAACCCTAGCTGACTTTCTACGGTGAGGGGCACTCGTGGTGCAGACGCAGCAGCCCTCGCGTGCCTCTGCAAGGGTACTTTGGAAAGTGCTCCAAATACTTTGAGAGGGTTGTCAAAAAGTTGGAACGAAGTGGAGCAAAGTTTTCGCGCCCAACTTCGTTCCAAATATTTTGAAAAAATATGGACAAACGCCTACATACAGGTTCCATTTTTTGACACTTTCAAACATTTTGACAAAAAGTCGGTCAGTTTAAAACGGCCCTAACATGACACTCGCTTTCCATTTTCGGACTGTCAGTAAACGGTACACCGACGTTTTGACCTACCGTTAGAAACATTGTACGCGTCCATCAACCGACCGTCAAATCGTCAAGCCACCCATTGCACGAGTTATTGGTCGTGGGGGCGTATCGTTCCTACCTCTCGTGGCGGCCGCTTAAATCGGCGGCTAGCGTCACACGACAAGCGCAGCAATAATGCTCGAGGTCGGCACCAAATAAATGTTCGTGTTTGGAAATGATCTGTACCCCCTAGTGCACATCGCGTACAAGCAGTTCACGCGCGCACGGGATACAGGCGTTTGCCAACCAGGGACTACCTCCAGCTTCTGCGCGAGGCAGTCCACAGCAAGCCAGCTACCGATGCCGCCACTCGATCGCCCACCGCGGTCGTCCACGGCTCTACTGTATGTAGTCTACATATATATCATGAAGGCCTTGGTTGGGCATGGCTTTGCATGGATCGGCTCTCGCCTCGTTACAGCGACACCCCCAGGATGTTGTTCCGGAGGCTGCCCAACTGCCAGGTGTCAATGCGATGAGACGAACGATCACGGATGCACACGTGGGTACGCACGTTCTGCTCTGCTGAGCCATTTGCACCAAGGCCCACCGAGTGACTTGTGCGATGATCGGGCGAGGAAAGGCTGAGAAGGGAAGGGCGAACTTGGAGCGGGACCGCATGCTACTGGGCAAGAAATTGGCTTGGGGACAAACGATAAGAAGCCCCGCGCCGGGATCGATCTCGCGACGTGTGCACTAGGTCTACATACACCGTCGTCGTTCCGGGCCGCCGAACCACTCTGCTACGTTCACAACCGGTCGAAACTATTCACAAAACATCCGCTTCTGAATGTGAATTTTTTCATTTACCTATCCAAGTGCATATGCGATCAGAGCAAACAAAAATGTGATTTCTGTCCAAACCAAGATACCAAAGAAGCTTGGATCCCGGTCGGCACACTCACCGATCGCCCCGCTGGTCTAGTGGGTACCCTCCTATGTGACCCCGGTTGGGTCGTCTAGCTAGTAGAAGTGGAGGATGGGGGCCAGAGGGGCAGACGACAGAATCCAATAATGGGAGTAAAGAAAAAAAAAAAAAACACGGACAACGCCCCGAAACCTACAGAGAGTGCAGGGCCACCCGTTTTGCTACTATGGTGTGGTACTACGAACGGAAGAGACCGATAGAAAGTAAAAACGCCGGAGCCACGTACTGGAACTCCCGGTTCAGTAGGACGGATACGATAGAGAAATCTCAAGACTACCGTTGAAACGGGACGAGGGGGGCAGGGAGGAGAAACAAAACACCGATGCGTGAAGGGGAGGGCTCTGAAGTCAACCCGGAGTATCCACGGAATCCCGGCAACAAACTTCCGGGCGGCTCCTCTTTCGCTCGTTTAGCAACACGGAGAAACGGGTGGATTGTTGTTGGTTTGAAGGAAAAAAAAGGTGAAAGCTGGAGGGGTCGGGCGTTCTCTCAATCGAACCGGTGAAATCAACGCATGGGAGAGAGAATCATGATGCCCGCCCCCACCTACCACCTAGCAACGTGGGCGTATCGAGTTCCACGACAGGTACAACACGAAGAGACATTTTGTGCAGCGAATTCTCTCGCAACACAAACCGAACAAGGACGAAAACATCGAAGTCACAAAAAGGCCGACAAACCCAGCCAGGGATAAAATTAACAAACAACGCCGCAACCCGGCAACAATTGTCAAGGTTAGCAGCCAACATCTCTCAAACCGAGTGACAAATCAGGAGTATTATATAGTACATTTACTCGGTGCAGTCAAGAATGCCATTTCGAAACAACTTTAGATAGCCAATCCTCCCTATCAGTCAAGTATGCCACGTGTCACTAACCGACGAAGTAAACGAACAATCAAACTCTTTAAATAACAACCATGCCTCCTCCGAAACGCCGGCGAACAAGGCACGAGCATAAGGACACGTACAAGCCGCAAAACACCGCTTAACGGGCGTAGGGGCGTTTCAAACATGGCCATTATTCCAAAGTTTCTACAATGAACCTGCAAAATTTTGAAAGTCATCGACAAATTTGGAAAAAAAACGCCAAGGTTTGAATTGAGTACTGCTGTAGCGCTTTGGAATGGTAGAATCCAAATTCTTGCAACCTTTCCAATTTTCTTGCTTGGAACTTGCTTTGCAAAGGTCCCTGCATTAAATTTGGGGAAAAGGTGATTTGCTTACAACGCCCCCATCAAAAAACGAAGCAGCCGAGTAAGGTGATCGATCCCCCACGAAAAAAAATCAAGCCATGATTCCGTTGGTGAGCCACTGGTAGTAGTCGAACTGCCTCTGTCCGTAGTTGTTGTAGCTCTCTCGAATCAGCTCCAGGCAGAACGCGACCGTCTCGCTCTTGTCCAGGTGTGGCATCAGGCGCTCGCTGAACGCAAACAGCAAAAGGAAGGCGGCGAGGGCAACGACAAAAAAAAAAGAGAAGGTGTATGGGATGCCTCCAATACACAACTCGCACGCATACCGAAAGCAAACCACAAGCATCGCCCACATGGATCGATTTTGTTTCTTTACCTGAACTTGGCGACAATGATTCCGTAGACCTACTGCCTTGCCACACACAAATCGCAAGCAAAAAAAGGAACCCACAAGCATCACAGACATCGCTCGATTTCTTCTTTGCATGTTGGCGACAATGCTTTCACAGACCTACTGTCTTTCCACACAAACCAAACGGAAGCAGACCACAAGCATCGCCGACATGGCTCGATTTTCACTATTTACCTGAACTTAAAGCCAATGATTCCATAGACTTACTGCACTTCCACACACAAATCGCACGCAAAAAGGCGACCCGCACGCATCTCAGACATCGCTCGATTTCTTTCTTTACGTGAGCTTGTCGACAATGATTCCAAAGACCTGCTGTCTCTCACACACCTACTGGGAGCACAACCACAAGCATCGCAGACACAGTCTCGATCTCTCCTTTACCTGAGCTTGGCGACAATGCTATCGGGCGGGTCCTTCCCCTGAAAGCACGGGAACGGCGACTTCTGCGTCATCATGCCCAGGAGCTTCACCAGCCGACCGCCGTGGGCCTGGAGTGTCAAAAACCCGCACGTGAACGCCACCACAAAATCCATGAACGCCTGCCCCGTCCGGCGCAAAGGGGAAGGGGGGGGGGGGGGGGG